GGTTTAGTGGGTGGTGGTGTTGGGTCGACGGTTGGACTCGTTGATCTTAGAGGTCTTTTCCAACCTCAATGATTCTATGATTCTATTCTATGATTCCATGAAGACGCAGCACCAGCAGCTGCCTCTGCACTTTGCTGCCTCCCCAGCATCCTGCAAAATGCTTGATTTTACACACCCTGGGGAACGACAACCCCAGGAAGGAGAATTAGGGAAAAATCAGCCCCCCGCGGGACATTCAGCCAAGGAAAGGAAAGAAATTGCTGTGTGACTTTAACTGGCTCTGGAGCATCCCCGTGCCCGGCTAGCTCTGCTCTCGTCCAAGTCCCTTATCAGAAACTGGCACGTCAGCCGGGCTGCGAGAAAACGAGAAGCGACAGCGAGGAGCAAAGCCGGCGTGATCCCAGCTCGGGCGCGCACGTGGCACCCAGCGTGCCTGTCTGGGGGCCTCAGCTGTCCCCCGCCTGATTAAGGAAACCCCCCTCTCTGCATTAAGAGAGATTTTCTCAGACTTAAAAGCTTGCAATGGCCAGGACTTTGCCAGGCGCGGAGAGAGCTGCAGGGGTTGTGTGGTTGAATCCCCCTCCCGACAGCCGCTGCTGATCCCCAGCACGGCTGAAAGACGGAGGTGCCCCCACAGGGGATGGTCCCCAAAAGGCAGCCGGGGTGTTGAACCCCTCTTGAACCGGGGCCGGGTACGCTCATCCCGGAGCAGCTCTGCCTCTCGCTAAATATCCAGGGGGAATAAACCCCTCAAGGGCATCCCTGTGCAGCATGTGATGGGGTGCCCCCAGTGCCCCCCTGCAGACTGCACCTCCCCAGGACCAAAAACCAAAAGGGGATCTCATGTTTACTGTGGTTTTAAAACATAATTTGAACAGAACAACTTGTACCGCCAGAGTTGGTACCAGTGCCTTTGGCCTCAGGAGCCCCCCAGCCCAACTGGGAGAGGAGACCCCGGCTCGGCCAAGCCTCCGGAGCCACCGCTCGCTCCCCCTACACCAGGAAAATGAAATCAAGAGGCTTCTGTCTCGATTCACCCACGTCCCAGTTGCTCCTCGTCCTTCCTGAGATGCTGCCAGAGCCACTCAGGGTTGCATCCCTCTGGTAGAAAGGGGCCACAGGCATTACAGGGAAGGCAGATGCATGCAGCGGCCCCTTAAAATCCACCCGCAATCATATTTGGTAGCAAATTCACAGCCTGTGCCTTCACAGCTCTATAAATGCTTGATGCTGGGGAAGCTTCAAGGATGCGAAGATACTCTTGGAGGAGTCAAGTTCAACTGGGAGCCACCAAGAAACATGAGATAAACTGGGTCTGTGCGCGGTGGGGACAAAGCCGGGCCGGTGGGACCTGACCTGGGCGAGGGAAGATGGCTAGGGGGAGATGGAAATCAGTACCAGGAGCAGGAACGGTCTCCCGGGGGGGGGCGGATTTGGGACAGAAACCAGTAAAAACCTTAAAGCAGCCCTAACCCTGCTCCAAGACGAGATGAGGATGGGGAGGGATGCTCAAGCAGCCTCAAAACCTGCCTGCACCCCAGTGGGTTTCGCTCCAAGGCAGCTCTGCCAGCAAGACATGCCGAACCCGGTGCGTTTGGGCTCTTTTTCTTGCCATCCACCAATATCCTTCCGCTCCCGAAGTTCCTCTCCTCGGCTTTGGATGCAGATCCAGCTTTTCATGTGGTGCAAACACAGTATTTCTTTGGGTGCCAAGGACTGTGTGTAACTTGTCGGCTTGGGAGTGTTTGCATCTTGGACCATAAGGGAACGGAGAACGCTGCCCAAAATGTTTACGGTATTTTTAGGCCAAGACAAATCTGTTCGACGCTGCGAGCGCCGCAGTCTGAGCATCCTGGAGAGGCTGGGTGAGGCTGCGCTGACTAGCACGGCGGGGAACAGCGCCTGCAAAACCCCGGGATTTTCACAGTGGACAGGCACTACCTTGCTCAAACGGGCCAAAAAGGACATTTTTGAACCATTTCTAAGGCCCGTATGCAACCGTGCGCTGGCAGAACAGTCTCCAAACCCCAGCGAGGGCAGGCAGGTGCTGCCAGTTGCTTGGCCGCGGCTCAACCCACTGCTGCTGCGGCGGCACGTCAGTGGGAACTGGGTGGACAGGTTGGGTTTTTTTTTTCCTTCTCCTTCATGGAATCAAAGCCCGAGAACGCTGCCCAAGATGCACCAACGGGATTCAAAGGCAGAAGCAGCACGGCCCGAGCGGCAGGAGAAGCCGATTCCTCCAGCAGCGCTTTGAAGCGGCGAAGCTTCGTGCCGCGCAAGGTCCGAGTGGAGCAGCTGCCTCCGATCCGCCCAGGGCCCTCCGCAGGGCCGTGCCGCTCCGCTCCATCGCTAACAGCTCCACGGGCGTTTAATTTATGCCCGCCTGTAATGTCAATTAATTACCCAGCCAAGCCTTTCGTTTGCCTGCATTTGCCCAGGTGTAAAGGCAGCTGCCCACATGCTGAAAAGCGACAACCAAGCGGCTCCCACGTTCACGGGTGCTGCCGGGGGAGAGGATGCGATCGATGGCCAAGACGCCGCCGGCCTCCTTCTGCGAGCCAAATGCCCCGTGCTTGAGCCCGGCGATGCTCTGCCAGCGCCAGGGACGAGGACAAAGCGGTGGGGAGGGCCAGCACGGGGTCACCGACAACAAATGGTGGCCGGGCATCTCCTGCGACGCTGGCAGGCTGGAGGAGGAGCGCGGCCTTGGCGTCAGCGAGGTTTGGACATGGTGCCCTTGGCAGTGCTGGGGTTGGTCAGGTTGGACTCGCCATCCTTGGAGACCCACAAAACGCAGCCGGACAAGCCTTGAGCAACCCCACCTACCCGTGAGGCTGGCCATGGGGTTGGACCAGAGGCACCCAAAGGTTCCTCCCAACCTGAATTACTCTGTGATTCAGCCGCTGGTGCCCTCCTACAACCCCACCATGCGTGACTGAAATAATAGACGGGGGCAACGCCACCAGCTGCACCAAGGCAGCCCAGTGCAGCAGCCCCGGGAGATGCCTCCAAAACCATCCCGTGGTTTGCCTGGACCACGGGAAAGTCCCACAAAGAAAACCTGCACCTCAATTTTACGGCAGTAGATCAACACATAACTCGAGACAGCTTCAAACTCTACCACCCAGAACTGAGTATTTTTGTAAGGCTGGACCAAGAAGACGTAAAATCAGGCCAGCACCAAGTGTCGGAGATCTGCTCGCTCCCATCCCCACCCCGCACCGACCGCCTGCATCCGGCTGCGGTGCCAGACCCGGCCCTGGCTCCACCACAACAGCAAAGCTGGGGAGAGGACGGGCGGCCTCACCTCGATGATGTCCGCATTGGTCCGGCTCTCGTGGGGCTCATTGTACTCGGTGTACTTGAGCAGCACCTTGTCCATGTCGGTGCTGGCATACTGGAACAGCTTGTTGGAGTGGTTGAAGATGATCAGGGCGATCTCGCAGTCGCACAGGACACTCAGCTCATAGGCTTTCTTCATCAAGCCAAACTTGCGCTTGGTGAAGGTCACCTGAAAGCAAGGAGAGCCACGGTCAGAAGCCGTGCCCACGCTGCCATGGACCTGACACCTCCCGGAAAAAACTGGGAAGAGCAAAAGGAAGGAGAGGGCAGAGGGCATCTTCTGTCCTCAGTTTCCCCCAGCTGGACAACCACCCCAAGCTCTCCTCTCTCACCTCCCTCTTCCAACCAGTTCATATCGCTCCCTATTTTGGGATCCTCCAAAGGCAGACACTTCACAAGCACAAAGATGATTATCAGCGGTGGAAATCACATATTGCCAAATCAAGAGAAAATAAATTTCAGCAAAATCCCCAGCAGAGCTACCATCTGTCTGGGGGCTGCGGGTTGTTGGGTTTTTTTTAAAGTTGAATATTCAAGCAGTGGAGATCTCGTCCTCGCTTGCTGCAGTAGCGCTGCGAGCACCCGACACTGGGAGCCGCAGAGCCGGGGGGCTCGGCCGCCCCAAAGCAGCCCAGGGTGCTGCTCCACACCACTCGCCCACCCCACCCCATCCCTGACCTGCTCTCCTGCTTCCCAGCACCCACTTCTCTTGGGAGGCTGCGCTTCCCCAAAGGCACCCCGAGCCCCCTGCACCGGGTGCCCGGCCAGCTGCTGCCTCCCTCTTGCTGTCCCCATAACCTTGTTGGGGCATTTTTCCACATCGCCTGCCCACCCGGGATCACCGCGCTCGTGACTGCGTCCCCTGTCCTCCCAACCTGCCCTGCCTTGAAATGAGCTGGCATTAGAGCTGTCAGCTAACGAGGCATCTTTTGCAGGACTGATCCTTGCGAGTTGGCTGGGGGAAGGGGCCAGAGCTGGGCGCGGGCTCCAAAACCCGCTCCAGACGCCAGGCAGACATTGGGCTGCATTTCCCAGCCCACGCTCAGCTCTCGCTGTGACACTCCTAACAGGACCCAGCTGGTGGGGAGGGAGCTGGTTTGGGGCTCTCCATCCCGGCTGCAGCGCAGACAGCCGCTGAAGGTCCCTCACCCCCCCCGCAACGAACGGCACGCTGCCAGGGAAAGGCGCGATGCTTGGCCAATGACCCCTTAGCCAATAAAAAAAGAAAAGGAAAATTAAAGGCAGGGAGGTCACTGCTTTGTTTTAAGCATCGCTCTCGGGGGTGAAGCAGCAGCTCGGGGAAGGGCTGGAGATGAGCCGAGATGCCCTTGGGTGCCGAGAGCTGCTCCCTCGCCGTGTGCGTGCACGAGAGAGCTCAACCCCACTTAGGGCCTCCGCCACGGCATCAATTTTGCAGCTGAACAGCTTTAATTTGCAGTGTTGAGGGAGGAGAGTGAATGAGGTTGTTGCCTTCGCTCAACTCAAGTTAGTGGCGTTACAGTCGCGGTCCTAAGAGCTTAACCTGGAGCTTCCCCGTCCGCACCGGCGGTGATGAGCATTGACGCCGCGATGCCACTGGCAGCACCCAGCACACACCCACCGGGATCCTGCACCCAGCACCGAGCACCCCTCGAGATGGAGCCACATCCCTCCGTGCAGTGGGAGGGCAGAGCAGGGGCAGCCCTGGGCGCGCACGGTGCGGGAAGCTGCCCGCCCCTCCCCGCCATCTCCCAGAGATGATTAAGCAGTAACAAGATTCAGCTCTAATCGCCTCATCCCCAGGAAAGTGCAGGGTTGGCACCCCGCGCCGCTGCTCCCCGCCACGTGCGCCTGCTCACACTGCGGTCGGGCTGCAAGCGCCAGCGCTCACGTTGCCAGTGTCCGCCCCAGCTCCGGTGCACTGTGACGCAAATTAAATTACTTGAGGGCCAGCACCGGTGTCATCGGCAATTCCCCCTCCCCGGTGGCATCCCAGACCTCTTGGTCACCCAAAATCATTGCTGCCGGGCGCTGGCCCTGGCTGCTCCCAGGACCGAGACCGAGCCAGCAGCGCCACACACTTCAGGTGGGACCCAGCTGTGGTTTTGCTCCTGCAGGACAGGCACTAAAACCAACCCGGGGCTCCCTGGCACTGTGCCGCCAGCGCTTCTGGTCTCACGTCTCCACTAGAGACCGGCTGCTCTGCCGCAGCTCCAGCAGCAGCCGCAGCCCAGTACGGCGTGCCTCGCTGCCCCTCACGGAGACAGCCCCGCTGCTCTGACTCACGCTCGAAGCAGCCCGAGGAGCCCTTGAGAGGAAAACACACAGTGCCTTCGCCAAGACAGAGGGAACAGCCGAGGGCGGTTGTTTCTGCAGCTGCCGGTGCCGGGGACACCTCGCCAAAAACCACCTTGCTGGGCGCCACGAGCCCGCTCGGCCACCGAGATCGGAGGCAAGGGGGTGAGGCCAAGGCGCGCGAGCAAGGGGGCAGCTCTTGGCCATGAAGACTAGAAACAAGCGTGGTTTGGGTATTGCCCTTGAGCAATGAAGGAGAGCATGGGGTTACCTGCCCCAAATCAACCAACAACCTGAACGGAGCCAAGCAGAACCCAAAGCACCAAATCATCCCTCTACGGACGAGGGGATATTCCCTCTGGAGACAGGGACAGGGCCGAGGAGCATCCCTCTGTCTTGGCAACCCCTGCTTCTTGCAAAGAAAAGCAAAGATTGCCATTTAGCCAGCCCCGTCGCACAAAAGCATCAGCTAACGCTGCCCTGCTCATCTACCCGTGACCCAGGACAGAAACCCCAAACCTTCCCCTACTGCCGTTGCACGAGCCTCATCTAGAAGAATTAACCTTGTAAGTCTAAGAGGGTAATCAAATCTCATGCTTCAGGGCATAAGCCGATCACCAAAGGGGTCAGGAAGGAATTACTGCCCCACACTAGCAGGGGATTTTTGCCGTTCGCCTGATGCAGACCATATTGGCCGTTGCCAGAGTCAGCAGGCTGGCCCTGAAGGACTGATGGTCTGATCTGTTATGGCAAATCCTCTCCAGTAATTCCTCTAATGACATTAGCGACTCTTACTTGCTCTCCTCCCCTGGTTTTGGCTTCTGCTGTAATTCTGGTCTCCTCCACGCGGGCTCGTGGTCCATGCACCCCTGGGAAGCAAGACCCAGGGAGCGAGCAGGGTCGGACTCGCTGATGCTGTAGGTTGGGTGAGAGATGCATGGACAGAGCTTCACCTCGCAGCGAAGGCTTTGGAGAGCCCCTGTTCAACCTTAGCTCTTCCTGAGGTTCACACTGCCTCGGCGGCCCCGAACCACCACTACTGATGAACTCCACTTGCAGAGTGAGTGGAAACACAGGCGTCAGGAGGGGCTCTGCCTCCACCTCCTTGCACAGCCACCGGTGAATCCCTCCTTCTCCAGCGCATCCACGCACTATTCCCATTCCCCATCCCTCTCTCTCCCGACACGCGCAGGGGCCGCGGGGGCCATCCGGCGCACGCCGAGGACAGTGCATGCTTGCCCGCCGCGGCTGGAGCTACATTTCCAGCAGCAGCGCCGCGGCATGAAACCCCATGCATAATTCAGCAGCGCCCGGCTGCTCAGCTCCCGGGGTGCGACACGAGAGAGCCGAGCCGTGCCCCCCGCACCAAGCCTTGGGGGGGCTGCCATGGAGACAGGGATGGGCTGAGGATGCTCCCAGACCCTGGGTTTAAGCCAGCTTAGCCGACAGCCCGCAGCCACGGCGGCCGCGCGTGCACGAACACTGCTCATCTCTGATGTGCAACAGCAGCAGGAGAGGAAGGGAAGGGGAATGAGATGAAGCAAGACGGGACATTTCTGAGCCCAGAGACCGGATCCTGGCATTGCACACGCATAGTGCAAAGCAGGAGGGTTACCACCCCCTTTACAGAGGTGATAGATGCCCCAGTCCCATGCAGCTCCCACTGCAGTGGATGGAGCAGATCAGCAACCCACTGCCTGGAGCAGCCGTTCGTCACGAAATGTCCTCTCTTCTTGATGTGTCCTTGTTTCCCAAAGAAAGGGAGCAGTGAAAATAATTGATTGCAAAGCCTGCGCTGATGACCAATTAAACAGCTGCTGCTTCGCTGACACCCGGCTTAAACAGGGCTGGGTTTTCGGAAAAGCAAAGCGATACGTGCTGCGCTCACGTGGGGAGCGACGCTCTCACGCTGGGTTTTGGAAGAACCGGCCCGGCCGGGGACGCAGCTGCTGTCAAAGGAAAAACCAACGTCCCCCAGACCCGGGAGCTGAGCTTTGGGGACAACACCTGACATCTGAGACGTGGTAAAGTCACGGCACCCGGCTGTGCTAAGCAACTCCCGCTGCTAAATCCCACCTGGGCTTGGCTTGGCCGGGGAGACCTTGGCAAGGGTCTGCATCTCCAGCCCTCCTTGGCCAAGCCCTGCGACAAGGAGCAGCTCGATGCCCCCCAAAAACGCCTCCCACCGCCTCGGCTTCTGCCTTTGGCAGAGAAACGCCTCTTTCCTTTCCTGAAGGCTTATACATCAGGGCTAGGCTGTGCCATCAACCTCCAGCATTACCAAATATTTTCCGTTCGTTTGAACTTCTAATGGGGCTCCAATAGCTGCAAATCCCTCTCTCCCCCATGCAACGTTCAGCAGCGCTGCCCCGTAAAATACAGTCCAGCTTCTTTAACAACCCCTAACGCCCCATGTCCTGCTAATTATGGAAATAAGCAGCGCCATGAGCAACTGGGACATTATCAAAAAACATTTCACGCCCATCCCATCCCCCCAGCCACCAAATAAAACTGTTAATGAAGAAAACCTGCAATTTTCTATTGTTTTGCTGCGGAGCAATAAACCAGTTCATCCAATTCTGTTATTTGCCGCTTTTTAAGCATTAGGAATATATACACATACTTTTTTTCTTCTTTTTCTGGAATAAAAGCAGTAGAAAAGAAGCGTGGCAGGCCACGCTGGGGCATCTGCAGCGGTGGCTGGACTAAAGGCAGACGCTTGGATCTGCTGAGCTGAACTCAAGGACCGCGGGAAGCCACAGAGCAAAGGGACCTGCCTGAAAATCTTGTGGTTACGGGGAAATACACCGATGGAGTCATCACAGAGCAAACCTGGTCTGGCAAAGCGCTGCCGCTCAGCTGGTCTGACTCAAGGAACACGTAAATTAGGGAAAAACCTGTTTTGGGGTTGTTTTTTTTTTCCTGCGAGATACACGCATGTATTTCTACACACATGCACATGCGTGCGTGTCTAGGGCTTGGCTTCAACAGAGCACAAGGAAAAAAACCCTGGACCCATATAAGTTTTCAATTGAGGGGAAAAAAAAAAAAAAAAAAGAATAATTTGGGTTGTTTGCGTTCAGAAAAATGGATACTTGTTGTGGCTGGTTTTTTTTGGAAAAAACTCACGGAAAATGTCAACTGAAATATATTTTCTGCAAGACAAAAAAAAAAAGGAACTAACTGGAGAAGATACTTTCTTCTGGAAAAGCGCTTAGATGGAAACGGCGCGAGGAGCTCCAAGGCGAGGAGCAATGCCTGGGTGGGGGCCACGGCTCCCCGCCACGGCAAAATGGGGCCGTTTGCCTGGTTCTGGGTATCCGCCTGAATCCGGCCCCGGTGCCGAGTTTCACCCATCTGCTTATTTTATGGCTTGGGAGAGAAAAGCACCAGTTGGCCCAAAACGGGATGGAAATGGGTCGTTTTGAAGCAGAACCCTTAAAATACCCGACGGGAGGACAGCGGGCGAGGAGGGAGTGGAGAGCTGAAGGGAAAGCACCGACCTGCCGATTGCGCTCGTCCGTGATCCGTTGGATCTGGATCTTTTTTCTCCCCATCTTCTCCGGAAATCCTCACCGCACCCGGGACGACTTCGGTTCAGGGGAGAGGAAAAGTAACGCCGTTTTAAAACGCTTTCATTAAAGAGCGTGGGGGGCTTTTTTCCGGATGAAAAACAAACGAAAAAAAGCCAAAACAAAAAAAAAAAAAAAAAAAAAAAAAAAAAAAAAAAAAGAGAGTTTTGCGTCGCTCCTTGCTCAGTTCATGGTATCCTCCTGCACGGCCGGATCCAGCGGGGCTGAGCCGTCAGCGGCTGCTCAGAAACCTGTGCAAGGAGAGAGACAGGAGTGAGACCGTCTGTCCCCAAACCCCATCCAGGATCCAGCACCCTCCCGGCATCCTCCCCACCGCCGGCATGGTTCCTGCCCCCCAAGCCCAGGGGAGGTCTCTGCTCCATCCTCCCGCTCAGCTCTGGGGCCAGGAGGGTTGCAGAGGGATTTATCCAACCTGGTCTTGAAAAAGCCTAAGGATGGAGCCCAAAAACGCCCGCGCCGCAGGACACGTGTGGGCCGGGCACGGCGATGCTCGTCGAGGAGGAGGAGACGGCAGCAACGAGCCCGTGAATCATTATTCCTCCGTGACACTCCAGACTTTTTTTTTTTTCTCTTAATAAAGTCATAAGCAGTCGAGTGGCTGGTGATTAGCTTGGGCAATTTAAATCCGTCTCCAATTTCTGCATTAATCTTCAATTTGGAATTTTAAAATGTCTTTATTTGATTACTTAAAAAAACCCTATAATCAGGCACAGAAACCTAATTCTTATGGGCGAGGGGAAGAAGGACTCTGAAGGAAGCCGAGGCAGCCTGGGGTTCGACTGGGCTCAACAACAGCCAGATGCCGGTTGTTTCCATCGATCTGAGGGGGGTGCAGATCAACTTGGGGGGTATCTTTTGCTCTACACTTCTCTCCCCAAAGGGGCGAGTGCTGCAGGTCCCGGGGGACCCGCACGGCTCCTTTCTCAGCCTCGCTCCGTGACCCCGCACCGGATAACGGGGCAGAGGCTCAGCCTCCTCCGGGCACCCACATCCCCCGATGCTTGGAGGCTGTATCTGGATGTACCGGGGCACCTACCGACGCAGCCCCCCCAGCCCCATTTCACCCCATTTTTTTCAGCGTGCACTGCATTGCAGCGAGGGGAATAAAGGGGGAAACCCAGCCAGTTCATTTTTCCGCAGGTATGTTTTTCTCCTGGTTCTCTCTCCGAGTGGCCGGATAAAAGCAGCGATAACGTTGCATTTAAGGCGAGGGTGCCCCGTGCCAAGACCCGGGCAGAGGGAAAAGCCAGTCCCAAAATAGCTTCCTATCTGCCTCGACTTGGCAGCCCCCAGCCCTTGGTCTTGTTACAAAAAGCATGGAAAAAAAAATGCTTTTTCTCCCCCCTCCCCATCATCCCAAATTCACCCGCAGCATCCGCAGCCAGCCCCGACCCAGCTCCTCCTGCTCCTCTCCCACCCCAGAGCATGGAGTCCCCCCCCGGACCGTGCTGAAGCCCCCCAGCGACCTTGGTCCCATCCTTCGCCTCTCATCAGACCACACTCCAACAACAAACAAGCCTTGACAGTCTCACTCCCACACTTGTTTTTTGGGGTTCATTGAGTCGTGTGAGTCACTTAATCTTTTTCTCTGCTTTTTTTGGGGGGTAAAATTATTCATTGCGCATTGTGCTCTGTGGTTTCAGCGCTGGTTCGAGCAGCCGAGAGGGGAATGGGGAGACTTTTCCTCCCCCTGACATCCACAATTTGCTCTCCAGGGAAATCAAGCAATGGGGAACCCAGGAAAGGCTGCTGGCAGGAGACTAGAGAGACAACAGGCAGCAAAAATCCCTTTTTTTCCTCATAAATCCCACCACGAAGACTCTTTGCAAGGACAAACCATACAGGGATGGCATTTGCTGCTCGAATCATTATTTCTCAAAATTGGTGCGTTTCCCCTCCCAGCAGAAAACGGGAGGGACCATCCGGCTGCAAGCAGCACCGGCACCGTGGGGGACGCCGAGCTGGTGCCGCGGGGATGCCCTTTTGGCTGCCGCTCCCCATCCCTCTGCAGGCAGCCCCGAAAAGGCCGGTCCCAGAGCATCGCCGCTCGGGCTGGCACCGGTGAGCAGGGGATGCAGACGCTGGGCTGCCACGAGAGCATCCCTCAAAGGCCGGTGATAAGGGAGGAGGCGAAAGGAAAATGAGGATTTTTGTTTCATCCGCCCGGGGTGTCCACTCGGCGTTTCCACCACTGCGAGCCCACGCGGGAGAGAGTCCACAGCCCCGAGGCCGGGGGCCAAGGCGAGGATTTTGCACGTGTGGAGAAAATTTGACGGAGGAGGAACTTTCCGCCGAGTTTGCTTTGCAGCTTTTCCCCTCGGAGTTGCCATTTCTTTGAACTGACCGAAAAATATTCACCTTCACCTTCTGCAAAACCGCCAGCAGCAGCATGAAGAAGCAACAGCTCTGCATCCGGACCCAGGGCGAGATGCTAATACTTTCCTTGTGCTGCAGCTCTTGGACAGAGAAAACCTCTGAAAAGACAGCGGATTTACTGTCCAAACCAGAGAGGAACTCTCCAGAAGCAACAATAAACACTGGAGAACAACAGGCAGTAAATTTAAACCGAGTGAAAGGAAACATATTTTAACACAATTCGGTTATGGGACTTCTTCACAGGATGCTGTCGTGGCCAAAAGCTCCACGGCATTCGAAAAAGAGATAGGATGTTTGTAGGGACGAGAAGAAAACCCCGGCGCTGCTCATCCCTGCCCCGAGCTTCGCACAAGCTGGTGCTTCTTGCATGGGAGCGGCGGCATTCAAACCACATTCCCCTCCCTGCGCCACAAATAAAACCCAGGTGTTTTGATACAAATCACCTTTTTCAACCACCAGACCACGTTCCTCCTGCCGCTCTCAAATCCCGACTCCTGGGTCCTCGGCCCCCCAGCTGGACGGGGACCATCATCCCAGCCTCGGGGTTTGCTCATGCCACCTGATAAAGTCCCCCGCAGGAAAAAGGCGACTATAACAACACTTTTTTTGCTTGTCATCATAGGGAGAAAAGGAGCTGGCCGTGTGATGCTCTTGATCCCTCTCCCCAGCACGGGAAGGAAAACACCCCACGGCGAGTGCGGTCCTTGGATGGGATGAAAAGGAGGGATGGAGAAAAGCACGGCACTGTCCGCTGCCCTCCAAACTCATCCAATGGAGGGGATTTAAAACTCCTCCCTTTTCTCTTCATGTTCCCGGTGCTGGAGTTGGGGTGGGTTTATTTGGTTTTAGGTTGGGGTTTTTTTTCCAACACGTTTTTAAACCCAGGTATTTTCACGTTTCCTGCCCAGGTGTGTTTCAGAATTTATTTGGTTTTAGGTTGGGGTTTTTTTTTTTCCCAACATGTTTTTAAACCCAGGTATTTTCACGTTTCCTGCCCAGGTGGCTGTTTCAGAAAGCCCGACCACAGGCTCAAGTTTCTGATCAGCATCTGCAAGCGCAAGAAACCTGGCGAGACTCCCTCCCTCCTGCCCACCATGCTGGCACTGCCACTGGCTGCTCAGACCCAACCCAGAAGCACCCACTCTGCACCCTGCACCGAGCCGAGCGTCTCTGCAGCTCCCTTTCCTTCACCAGCAAATTGCTCGGGCTCCCTAATTGCCCACCCCGAAGCATCGGGATCACCCATGACCCTCCTCCACGATCAGCCGGAATTTAAGCACCTAAATGTATAGATAGCCAAACACCCAGAGTGCAGGACTTTTAAAAGGAGCTAAACTCCTAAATAACTTTTAATATTTGGGCTCTTGGGTGTTTTTATTAAATATAATATCCCCAGTCATTAAATCACCTTTTCTTCCTTCTGAGACAGCAGCTTCTTTCTCCTTAGCCCGGTTTTCCAAGGAAATCAGGCTCACGCCATCCCGTGGTGCACGCGGGATGAGAAGGCACCCACCCCACGCAGCGTCTGAGCCCACGGGACCTTTCCATCCCATTTGGGATGAGGCGCCAACATCCCCAGCCGTGATACCCCCAGTGAGTCGCACGAACACCGGTGGATGGGTTAAGCCCAGCCCTTACGAGAGACACTAGAGAATCTCTGCAGCCCTGTAAGGCAGACCGGCTTGCCCAAAATGTGACCCAACGCCATCCTAAACCAGGCTTGGGACAGCTCAAACATCACAGGGTGCAGCCGGGCTGGAGCGGGGCCGGGCTCGGGACCACCCCAGGCACCCGCAGCCTCCCCCCCCAACGCCGCCGCCATCCCCAGTGGTACCCGTCTCCATGGTGACCATCTCCATGCAACCACCAAGCATCTCAGCCGCTACACCCGGCGAGGAGGAACCACCGCGGCGCAGGGGTCCAAGGGCATCGAAGGAGACCTACAAACCTGCTGTAAAGCAAATTCACGGGCGTTGCACCGAGCTAACGCCGCCGGCAAAAAGTCACCCCGTCCCTCTTCAGCACCTGGAAACCTCGGCAAGGATCGGGAAAGGGGAAATTCGGCGTCGGCCCGGGGAAGCAGCGAGAAGCGCCGGGACGGAGGCAGCCCGTTAGCGCCCGCATCCCTCCCTCCTGCCCTACACCCCCTCGCGCGCTCGCACAAGTATGACTATCACAGCAATTAACACACATGCCAATTAACTACAAGCAGGTGCTGGTTAACTCTGTGCTGAGTAATTCATACCCGGCTCCAAGTAAATTGCTTTAAATTGGAGAGACGGGTGAGGGAGCAGAGTTAGCATTTTGCAAATGGGGGAAGAAAGAAAAAGCAAAGAGGAATCTCAGCTGGGAGATGTTTTTACAAAACAAGGAATTTGGGGGTGCTGAATCCACAGCTCCAAGAGCTGGGGAGGCAGGAGAGCCGGTATCTCTTCCAAGTCTTTATTTCTGGATTTTTCACCGACTACACATATTTCCGATCTATTTTACCTATTTCTAAATGGTCTCACCTTGGCATTGCACAAGCAGCAGGGTTCTTTGCACCACTCCATAATTTGTCACTTTTCCATTTCTACTAAATAGCCCCATATTTCTCTCTGCGCGAGTAGGGGCACTTAGAGTCTCACATCCACTTTCTATGGCCATTTGCTATTTTTAATATACTTTTATTGCATCCCTTTTTAGTTGCCTCCTTGCTAAAGTTAGCCGTGACACGGCCGCTCCTCTCAAAGGCGATGATATTAAGCTGTCCTTCCTTAAAACCCCACCTTGTAAAGCCTTGTGCTCTCAGCACGGTGTCAGCTTAAATAAACCAAACATTGGCTGCGCAGCTGCAAGGGAAAGATCAAAAAGA